CCAAATTAACTATTATAACTATACTCATATATTTTTTCCACTTTTTCTTCTTTTTGCATTTTCTCTTTAATAATAGTATGACTTACAGAATTACTGGTCCTCATGATGGAATATCGTCCATGTGAACAATTATATGTGGACGTGCATATTTATTTGCTTATGTATAAAATTCACACAAGCAGAGTCGTGTCACCATTGTTCTTGTGGATAGATTTTCATAGACATTCTTTGAGAATCAGATAATCTGAATGTGTACATGACACAACTTAGAGAAATGGGTATAAGAAAACCGGAAATATGAGGTGTGGATGGAAGAGTTAAGTAAAAATGAGCGTCTTACAGATAAATTAATTGTGGACGACAAGTTGTGGCTAACGAGTTGTGGATGATTACTTGTGAACGACGAATTGTGGACGACGAGTTGTGGTTGATGAGTTGTGGTTGACGAGTTACGGGGGGATGAGTTGTGGTTGACGAGTTGTGGATAACGACTTGTGGACGTCGAACTATAGAAAACAATTTGTGGACATTTGAGTTATGGAAACCAATTTGTGGACGAAAAATTATGAAAAAAATCAGATACATTTGTATATGTTAAGTTGATTCCCATTTTTGCTATTTTTTTTTGTTTCTTCAATAATGGCAAAATCATAAAATTTTAATGGCCGGCCATAGAATATTGTCACAATACGTCAAAATATCACGTTGTTCATGTTGTTTTTGAGTTAAATTGATAGATATGTCCGGTTACATTCTATTTTAACCAATAAAATCCAAAAAACACTTTAGAACCCGATTTCTTCGCCGGATATGGCCAAATCGAAACGCTTACCCACCTTAGAAAGCTTCAACGTCGCATAACCTCCCATCCCAGATGCGTTCTTGAACATTGGACACTCGATACTAAAGCTAATCTGACCACAACACGACAGTTCAGTGGACTCTATTCAAGCCTTCAAAAGAGCAAAGTCTTCCAAGTTCAGACGGGTTTGGATGAAAGGTGCCATGGGTACATAGTGGGATTGATGTTCGATTTCGAGACATTGAAGGATTTAGGAATCTTAATCTTCATTTTCTGTGAGATGAAAGTTGGAAATTTGAGTTTTTTATGTGAAATGAAATTGAAATGTTTTTTTTTTGAAGAATCTTGGGTTTCCGTGGCTCCTGGGAGAAAATTGAATGTTTATTTTTATTTTTTAAAAGGTATTAAAGTTTTTGTGCTTTAACAATTGAAAAACATAAGGAGAAACTGGTTCAGTTACGGTATACTTCTTTTGTTTTTAATAAGTGTTATTTGACATTTTTCACACAGATTAAGAAAGTAATTGAAATGTGTTTAAATTGTTATTAATTACACATATTTAACCAATAGTATTGGAGATAAATAAAATTCTATAAGATCAATATAGTTTACAATTAATTTTAAGCTGAAAGTAAATATAATTTGTACTGGGATTTTAAAATGACACTTTTATGTAATAAGAAAAAATCCCATATATATATTAAAGGAGAACCATTACAACATTTGTTTGTAGTCACATGTCATCACCACAATCATTCTTAGAATCTTTAGAAAAATATGTTGGTCCATCTAAATATATAATAAGCTTTTTATTAAACTAATCATAAATGACATATTAATGTTTTTCATTGTTTCCTTAAATAAAAATAACAGAATTGCCAAATATAGTTAAAGAATATATGACAATTAATGATTTTCAATAATAAATATTTGATAAAATTAGTGTATTTTTAAATTTAACTTATTAAAATAAATTACAAAACTACATTAACTATTTAATAAAAATTTATATTTTTAGTATATGCTATATTTTGATTTTTTTTTTTTAAAACGACTATAAATGACTAAATTTATTACAGAATCTCACATTAAAATTTTTGTGGTCCATGGTTAAATTTTTTTTATAACAAAATAGAAATGATTACAAAATTATATAAGTAAAAAAGTCTCATTTAATATATATATATATATATATATATATGTGTATTGTTCAAAATAAATTATATACCATGTAAATATATATATATATATATATATATATATATATGTATTTTAATTTCTAATTTGCTTTGATTTTTTTTTGATAAAAATTTTGAACACAAATTGACAACTTAATATTTAGTTTTAAACTTTGCATAATGTTTTAAAATTATAAATTACTAAAAAATGTTAAACATCCCACACAAAAAATATTGTTATCAGTGATTTAAAATTTTTGTTATAAGAATATAAAAATGAACTAAAAAATAATATGAGTATAAACTATAATTTAACCGATATCAATATTAAAATGTATTATATTTCTACGATAATATCATTTAAACTTATTTGTATATCATATACAATAGAAAAAATATGTTTAAATTAATAAAAATATTTATATGTTTACACCAGTTTAATTATATACGTAGAAGTTACTATCTTTTTAATTATCAATATATATTTATAATTTTATAATATGTAAAAAAATATATAATAAGTAAATGTAATCTATATAAAATATTCGTTGCGCGTAAGACGCGGATCCTAACCTAGTGTTTGAATAATACGTAATCTTTTTGACATGAAAATGTGTGGTTACGATACCAAATAGAGTGTAATAGAAAAATGGGAAAGTGGTTCCAAGTGTAAAAAGTTCTTCTCGGTATAGGTAACAGATTAATGTTTGGTATACGGTACTCCCTCTGTTTCAATATAAGTGTCACTCTACAGCTATGCACACGGATTAAGGAAACAATTAATTTTACATATTTCCTATATAAAAACACAATTACCCATACACCTAACCATATTTTAACCAATAGAAAAACAAATTACATAATAAAATTAATAAATTTTACATTGAAAACCGAAAACGACACTTATTTTGTAACAC